CTACCTCCCATTTCCGGCTCCTCCCCGAGTTTTGGGACACCCTGTATTCGACGGTTTTGATAAACTCCCACACCGTAGCAGGAAGCCAAAATGATAGGGCGCTTAAGAGTAGGGTTGTCCACCGATTCAGAATCGACTTTGGGACGTTCTTTTGAGGCTTAAAGAGTTGAAAAAGCTCTAGGTGTCCTAAAGTGGGTAAACGCCACGGGCGAGAAGCACGTCCTATACTCAGAAAATCAGCACCTCTTCAGGAAATCCCCATTTAGGAGCTCGGACTCAACAAGTGTGCCGCTTTTCTGACCTGTTGAACCTGATTTGCGTGTCTCTATAGTATGACTGTCGACAGTGATGCTATTAGTTTATATTTATATTTATTTAGATTTATATTTATTATTTGGTATCCCATGTAAATAAATACGATGCATATATTCATATTAGGAAAATTATTTATCAGGAGATTATTAATCAGGAAAATGCCAGGAATATGATGGTAAAAGTTTTACAACAAAAAGTTAATAATAAAAAAGTATCACCGTTGTATTAAATTGTCTCACCGACATCCTCTGGTGTTTTCGTTCCGTCCTCTTCTTTATTCGCTGTCCTTCTCTACGTTCGAAGCTCGTCGGCAAATATCAGAGAATATACGATTATGTAATCACTGCTCGGCGATGGAACTGCTGGACCCCCCAATGGTGGGGGATGGTTTCAGTGTATTTATGGTAGAGATATTTTTCCATTTATGGAGGGTTTACTGTATCGTAAATGCTCACAAGGTAATCGTGCATGTTTTCAAGCTTATCTGGATACCAAGTGATAACATGTCGAGGACTAGGCGTTCGCGAATATAAAAGGATTGTATCGATGCTCGACGATCGCAAGCTTGTGACCTGATTCGTCGACAGGTAAAACTTCCAGAACTTCTACTTGAAGAATTTTCTTACTCCACAGGTGTCGAAGGAAGTCTTGTATCTTGGGATTACTTTCATCACCCACAGTAAAAGCTTCGAAGCTCAAGATCTACGCGAACCGACGCACAAATCGTCAATAATTTCTCTCGAGGAATCGTATTGCATTCTACCCTAGCGGACAAGCAAACCGGAACGATCTTTCAAATGCTCATAACAATGAGAGTTTCCAACCGATTTCGGTGAAACTTCGTGAGGAATAGTCTTCAAGTGTCTTCTAGGTGTGTGCAAAGTTGCATTGGCGAGGGTTGATGTGAAGGGGTTAATTCACCATCCTAAAGGGGACTGTGTAAAAAAAAGTCTCTTTGAAGCAGACCAGAGATGACGGAAGGGATTGAAAAATTCAAAGAAACCTTTGGGGCGACTCTCCTTGATACCCTCTACAAAATGCACCTCTTGAAATCCCTCTCGGACAAACCCACAACCTTCCACTCCCTCTAAAATTCACAATTTTTGTACGAAGGTCTCGATTTTGGGCTCCAGCTCCTACCGTGCACCCCATAGGAACCCTTGGGGGGGGGGGGGGGGGGAACGGCTCGCATATTTTCAAGCCTCTTCGTAAGGGAGCACTTCCACACATCGGAGGGCGACGAAATTCGCCATGTTTGTTCTCGATACGTTAAGGATGAATTGCGAAAATGTCCCGTCTCGAAAACTGCCCCCGGTAGTGTTCGAACTGTGGCTATAAATGATAAGAGTATCAGAGGTAGTCAATTGCATCGTAGGGACTCCTATTTGTGGCACATCGATGAAATGCGTTTGTGTTAATCAAGACGAGGTTTCAGAAACCGTAGAGACTACACGCATGGGTATGTCATCCCAGCTATGATCTCCAATCAGTACTAGTACGTCACGAGAATTGGACGACCGCACGATGTCACAAATGATGCCCTGTAGTTGGTGTTTCTCCGCAAGGTTCGGCATGATTCCATATCGTCCGGATGGAACGACGAACATTGTAATCGAGATCGATATTAACGTAAATTTCATCTTCATTCATCTTCATTTATTCAATCGTTCAATCAAGCTCGTGCAATCTTGTTATTTAACTTCGGTATTGAACTTGACTCGGATTCGTGGGCACATATTGAACTTGATCCCATCGCTACTGACGGAACGGGAGTGTAAGGAGAGCCAGGGTGAGCCAGGAGAGGCAGGAGAGCCGGGAGAAACGGGAATCGGAGGGGCGGGTGGTTCGCTCAGTGGGAGAGACAGGAGACCCGGGCAGTGCAAGCCGGGCAGCCTGCCCGACGATATCGTCATTGTGGATTCTATTCTTTTTGTTTGATCGTTCTCCGACCAAGGCAGCCGCGAGTTTTTCCTACGGGCGTCCTTTTACCGCAGGCATGCGCGTCGTCTGTTTTTCCAGTCGCGGAGAAACGCGTACGGTCACACTTTGTCCTTAAGACACGCACGGTCACGCAGCGCGCGAACATATGTGCGCGAGACGATAGAGAGCGGAAAACACGCTGGTTACATCGCTGCATAAGCGGCCACGTACGTTGATAGAGATCGGAGCACGTGTGTTCAACCCGGAGGGGCGACTTGAAAGCGACAGAGCGCGGCCGAAAGAACGCACGCACTTCCCCGCACGGGGAGCTTCCGCAGCTTTCCAAGTAACAGGTTGGTTATTCCGGCTTCTCTTAAAACCGCTTTCGCGCGCTTCTATCGACTTCTCCAATCGCGGACACCGACGTTCTCGACGACAGTTTTACCAATTTTTTCGCGACAGACGGTTGCAGACGTGTATTATACCATCCACCTTGGTTAAGACCTCTTCTGCTAGGTATTCCATTAATTACTACATTCGCGAATTGGTGACAGGACGTTCGACGTGGTTATAAGACGATTTTTAGTATTTTATTTTAATATATTGCCGACTGGGACTTTCGAGTCGCGTTTTACGCGGGTATGGAACGATTTTGAGTATTTTCGTTTAACGTATTGCCGACTGGGCTTTTGAAGTCGCGTTTTACGTGGGTATGAGACAATTTTTAACCGACTTTGAAAAGGAGGACGTTACTCAATTCGACACGTAATTTTTTTTTTTTTGAGCCTTCTTTTAATATATTGGTGACTGGGCTTTTGAAGTCGCGTTTTACGTAGGTATAAGACGATTTTGAGTATTTTCTTTTAATATATTGTCGATTGGGCTTTTGAAGTCGCGTTTTACGTGGGTATAAGACGATTTTGAGTATTTTCTTTTAATATATTGCCGATTGGGCTTTTGAAGTCGCGTTTTACGTGGGTATGGGACGGATTTTGAGTCTCTTCTTTTGACACATTGGCGTCGGGACGTTTGGAGCAGTGCTTAACTAGATTAAGAAGTGTAGGTACATGAATTACATCTGGATTATCGTTCTTGGTTAGATCGCACTCTCATGTAATGCCATTTGTGTGGTCCTAATGTTGTCTTCGTGACGTACAATTGAATTTTAGTATCTTTTATTTCATTTTTTATTACAAGTACAAATAAATGGGTACACAATACATACCAGATTAGGTACAGGCACGTGAATTGTATTTGGAATATTGTCCTGGGTTAGATCACACTTTCACGTTATGTAATTTGCTTGTCCTGTTGTCGTAATGAATTGAATTATAATACTAGGTTTACGCAACACAGAAATTTACAGAAATCATTTACTTTTTTCGCCAACCACTTATGCCGACTTTTTTACACATAAAGAGACAGGTATTGAAATTACTTCGGTAATTACTTGCTAGATTAGGTATGGATACGTATATTATATTTGAATGATTGTCTTTGGTAAGATATTACTCTAATTTCACGTATCTAGGTTGTTTTCTCAACGAAATAAAATCTTTCAATGCATTAGCGTCGGGGCGTTTGGAGCTACCCTTAAGATGGTTGCGAGGCGATTTTGAGTCTTTTCTTTGAACACATTGAGGACTGGACGCGTGCAATCGCGTTTGACATGATTGTGATGTAATTTTCAGTTTTTTTGTTAACACACTGAGGATGAAGTGTTAATTAAATTCAAACGTATATAATTAAGGCAGCAAAATAAGAAAATTGCATAAAACAAGAGAAATGTCTAACTCGAAATAATAATTTAAAAATAATAAACGTACCTACACCTGATCTAATAAATATTTGCCTACTTTTTTTGGATTTTGCATGTTTTTTCAGCACTTGAAAAATGTACAACAGTTCACGAGTATCCGTTTTTTTTAATCGTATCATTTTCAACCAAAACGTTTGACAAATTATGTAACTTTTCTCGTACATCGAAATACTAAAATATTTTTACAAATTTCATTTTATTTTGGTATAATGCGCCACTGCTCTGTTGCACTTTTGAGCATTCTAGCGCGAACCCAACACATCGGATTCTCGCCGTCGGCGTCACGTCGGAATATCGTTTCTCGATGCGACGCCGCGCGAGAATTCGGTTGCGAGAACGACTGGCAACGGGGTGATAACGTTCCGTGACGTATGATTGAAAATGGTTCGTTGGATCTCTGATCGATTTTTTCATTCTTTTTTTTTTTTCCTATCGTCGGATCGTAATCACCCGAATCGTTGGCGCTGGTTAATTAACGGGCTCGTAGGTTCTTTCGTCCTTCGAACGTTCGCATATTATTCCATGGAACGTGATCTTCCGTGGGAACCGAGCCACGCATGCAACGTAATTTCGAAATGGATTTGATACCGTTTTAATCGACCGATTTCCGCCTCTATTTCCTCGATTCCCGGGTACGGTCCATTCTCTGTTCGATCCCTTCGCCGTCAGATCACGTCTTGGCAGATGCACTTGTCTCGAGAAGTGCGATCGAACGTTAGATAAGGTTTTTTGGTTTACAGCTTCAAAAAAGTTGAACCTGCATACAATTTCCTACAAAATGTTTTGCAAACGAGGCTTTAGGATTTTCTTTTTTGATCGAACACAGATAGTATGAATTATATGTTCCATTTTTTTTTTATTTTACGGGAAAATAGACACGATTAAAATTATACGCAAAAGGTGATAGCGTCGAAGT